CAGGTCAAGCTCCAACGGCTCATTGACAATTTGTCAACATGGGCCCCTGACACGGACCATACCCTCAGCTATGTTGTCTTCAAGGATGCACCGCCTGGAGGTTTTCACAGACAGCAAAATTGTTTCAGCAGACTATGTTGCGCAACATGTCGCAAGATTAATCCCCCGTCAAGGTTCCAAAAATATGGTTGCTCTGAACGTAAACCGGACGTCTCGAAAACTGTGAAAACGTTTCTCAACAAGTTTACGGGGGTCAGTGCTGCTAACTATGATGCAGCAGTCAAAGCTTTTCAACTGACGGAATCTGAACAAGAAAAGGTGATGGGCCGAAGGCCTCAGGTCACGGAAGCCCAGGACCCTCACACTGCTGTCCGAGTTGGCGAGGCTACCCACCCTGGACCAAGGTCTAGACGATCCAATTCGAGGAATATTCTTGTTTGGTCATGCAATACGGCCGGGGCCCTTGGAGCCTGGTCTTTACTTAATCATCTGCAGCAGAATGGTGGTCCTGACGTTGTTTTTCTGCAGGAAGCTTCTTTCAAAGATCATGAATGGCCATCCTTTCAGCGGAGAGTCGATAAGGAAGGTTTTCATTCATTTTTCTCCGGGGCCAACACTAAGGTGGATGGCCAAGACAAACATGGGGGAACGGCCATCCTGGTAAAGAAAAACCTGGTTGTTCGTCCTGCTTGGAAACTTTGCCATGTGGGTGGTTCTGCTCAAGCAGTTTGGTTGGGGGGTAAGTTGCTGATTTCCCTTTACTTGGCACCTACGTTTGAGTCCCAGGAGGTTTTTGCTTTAACTGTGGCCAAACTTTTTTCTTTGCCGCAAGGCACGCAATGGGTCATGGGTGGGGACTTCAATGCCACACCGGAAGAATGTCCCTTTAGATATGTGTTTGGCGCTGAGGCCTTTGAAATTCTTGCCTCCGGCAAGCCCACGCGGTGGAATGGAAAGAGATGTATTGATTATTTTTTGAGCGATCAATATCATGGCACACCTTCAGCCCCGGAAATTCACATCTCTGATCATATCATTCAGGAACTCCAGCTTGACTTTCAGGAATCAAGACATCCCAGTGTGAGCCTGGCGCCTAGCCCCAGGATTCCACCATACCCAGGTTCTGACGCTGTGTGGCAGAGAGCGGCCAACAGAGTGTGGTGCCAACAGCAGCAATTAGTTCCGCAATCTTGGTCGCAGGACTTGGATCAGGATTGGGCGCAACTTTCGAAGACATTTTTTGACACTTTGCTTCAAACTCAAGTTGAGCTGGCGCCGGAAACGGTCAGTTCGGTGCCTGCCGCCTTGCTCCGTAGAGGCAAACCTGATAAGGTCCAAATCAAAACACGTGACAGGTTGGTCAAACCCACCGCGGGTTGGTTTGCCACTTTCAAAGAACGACATCTCAGCAATCTGCTGGCCAGGTTGCACGAGGCTCAAAGAATGCAAAATCAAGCTCGCACCTCTGTGGCTCAAGCTATGCATGAGAAAGCCCTGTGGGAGCGAATCAGACGTAGTCAGTATTATGACCCTTCCAAAGGGATCCAGATGAATATTCAGATCATTTCTCGCACTTTGGAGCAGCACACTGCCCAAGCTGATCGTGCCAGATTGGATCGGTGGACTCAGAAGATGCAACATGACAAGCATGCTCTTAAATGGCTTCGTCAAGAACGTAGCCCTCTCTACCCTTCGGTCAAGGTTTCTCCCAATGCGACGCCAAGTGGTACTCTCCAGGAAAGCTTGCAGAACCTCAGTGATTATTGGAAAGCTATCTGGGAGCGTGACGCCATCGACATTGAAGCCCTCTGGGATGACTTTACGGAATTTACTCCGGCTCAGATGGGCCCCGACCAATGGCCTGCAATCCAGGTTGAACACATCCAAGCTGCGGCTCGACGAGCCCGTGGTACTGCTCCGGGATTGGATATGTGGCAGGCTGATGAACTTTGTCGCCTCACGGACGACATGTGGCATGTCTTCCTCTCCTTTTTCGCTCATTGCGAAACTCTGGGTCGAATTCCTTCGGCTTGGTGCAATGTCAGGCAAATCCATTTGCCAAAGGGAAAGCCACCTCAACCTGATGGCAGCGTCTTGGCAGCGGACCTCCGTCCGGTGTCTGTTACCTCTGTGTGGTGGCGAATCGCCAACAATGCAAAATATAGACTGCCTGAAGTACAACAATGGATCCTCAGAACTATGCCCTCCTTTCTATATGGTGGAATCCCGGGCAAAGGTGTCGAAGATGCTATCGCACCAATTCTGGTCAAAGAAATGACTGGGGGGATAGTTGGCACGCTGGACCTGGACAAGGCCTTTGATCGCACCTCTCCTGAGCTGGCATGCAAAGTGTTTCGACATCTTGGCATGCCATCGCACACCGCTGCGCTGTTGCAGCATGCGTGGACAAATCAAAACAGATTTCTGCAGTACCAAGGCGAAATCCTGAAGCAACCTTGCTTGGTCGGCAACTCCTTGCCGCAGGGCGACTGCTGGTCCATGCTGGCCATGTGCATGGTCCTTTTACCCATTGGCAACAGAATTGAACGACAATTCCCTGCAACCACTCAAGCCATTTATGCAGATGATCGCAGCTTTGTCAGTCCCGAGCCGCTTGAGGCTCTGAAGGTGCGTGATATGTGGCACGAAAACACTGCAAAAATTGGTCTCAAGGAGAGTGTTGGGAAAGAACAATTTTTTCATAGAAACAAACCCATCAGACGAAAGCTGGTTAAGCTGGGACTCCCAGCTGCCAGCTTGGAAGATGCTACTTGCATCCTTGGCTTCAACTTTATGCCGGCACAGCGCAGAAAAGCTGTGGGCAAGGAAGTGAGCCGCAAGCACACAGCCAAAGTCAAAGCTCGCAAATGCCGATGCTTGCCCGGTGGTGGTGCACGCCAACAGCGCATGGCGCGCATGACAGTGCCCACTGTGACTGGCTGGGGATTGGTCTGTAGACAACCTACGCAAGCAGAGGCCCACGACTTCTTTCAACTGGCGAAAACATTTCACACTTGGCCCAAGCAATCCAGTGTGCCGCTTTTAAAAATTGTGACAGGCCACAATTGGGACTTGCACTTGGCTAGTGCAAGTACGTGCCTCAGAGTTCTCACCAGATATGTGATTCGCACTGGGCGAGCACTACCTGCATGGCCCCACGCCCGTAGTGGTTGGAATGGCAGCCTCCGAATTGCCATGGAAAATGTCGGACTGACGGAAGTTGGTCCTTGGGAATGGACTCACGACAGAGTGGGCACTATTAAAATTCATCCTAATGCACTTAGGACAATGAATGATCCCAACGGTTTTCTCCAGCATCGTTTGAGAGAGGCATGGAGATTCTCAAACTTTGAAGAATGGCGTCAATCCAATCGGAGGAATGCCGCCGAATGTGTTGATGTTAGAATTACTGCAGAACATTTTGCTGCGCTGAAAAAGGTCAACCTGAATGCAGACAGTTTGGCTTGCCTCACCGGTGCTTTCGTGTCTCCCAAGGCATATGAGGTAATGAGTGGTTCTCCGCAATGTTGCCCATTTTGCAGTGGTTCTGAGTGCACGTTGGAACATGTTGTGTGGCTGTGTAATCAAAATCCGTTTAGAAAGGACGGACTGGCACCGATGTCAATTATCCAAAAACGTCTTGGTTGGCCTGAAGGACGGGACGCAGAACATGACTTGCAGGTCATATCATGCTTGGCCAGCTCCAGGGCTACCTGTCTACGTGCTCGACGTGGACACGATTAATCCCTGCCGTGGGCAGGGCACTATGCGGCGGCTGCCCCGCGCTGGCTGGCTGCGCTGTGGCTGTGGTGGCTGCGCTGCGGCTTTGGTGGCGCTGTGGGCGACGTCGAAGTCTACAACATGATGATGTTTGAGGTACTTACTGATATATTTTGTTTTGCTTTGAACCACCTTTTCCCCAAGCCCAAAACTATCTCTTCATGGAGCTACCTCTTCTTTCGGCTATCGTTTTTAATCAAACAGTGTGCCTACATTAAGAGGTTCTTACGGTAAAATTGTTAGAGGCTGGGTTTGATAACCCCATGCCGGAAGAGCCCACAAGTTCCCCCAAACAGGACCCTTGTACAGAGATCCCGTGGAAAGTGTCCTTGTACAAAGATCCTGTGAGTTCCATGACGGGGCCCTTATGCAGAGATCCTGTGAAGTACTGAGATCTTGCGAGTTCCTTTCAAGGATCCGCTGTACAGAGATCTTGTGAGGGTCCTTGTATTGAGATTCTGTGTGTCAAGGTTCCGTGGGCATCTGCCAATTACTTCCCCCACTTTGTTTGGGGACCCTTTCTATTTTAGCGTGTGTGACATGTGAGACATGTGTGTCTTATTCTCTTGCTTCAGCAACCTCCTCCCCTGGCTGTTTGCTGTTTGAGCCATCCCCCGCTCTCAGCTTGTCAGCCGCGCTCCTCTTTTGAGCTACCTCTTCTCTGAGCCAACTCCTCAGTGAGCTTCATCTTCTCCTAAGGCACGTCTTCTGCCATTGCGCTTTGCGCAACCTTGCCCATGCATTCCACAAGAGCTCTGCGCAGACAGCAGTGCCCGAAACCTTGCTTCCCTCATCCCACCTCTTGCATTCAGTGGGCCTGTTCTATATGGGTCAAAAACCAAAAATGGGAAACAGCTTTTGCCTATTGGATTCCCGCTAAATGTTCCTCTAAAAGTCAAAGGGTCCTTTTACAGTTTACACATTGCCTAGCATCTTTGAACACTGATGTCTATGCCCGGGTTGGTATTTGTTGGGATCCTTTCGCAGGCAGACATGAAATGGTTTTGTGCTGTTTGAAACAAGAAATCCTTGGCACGTCCCCACCAACACATCAAGATTATGACACATTATGCCGATATATTTGCAGCATGAATTCTGATATATTTCCGGACATTGCTTGGCGCATATTTTGGCAAGCGCTCGTGCTCTGACATTTGCACTGGTAAATTTCATGTGGCATATCTTCTGACAAATATATGCCTGCGTCAACTCTGGTCTAGGATGACACAGGGAGCCTGCGAGCGAGCTATTTGACAGGTTGCATGTGATGAGGCCCGGGATTACATGCATAGAGGGCATACCCTCAAGATCGAGGTGTCTAGAATCCCCCCCTGGGGTTCCCGTTGAAGGTTCTAAAATCATCACCACTATGATTTTAGAACTTTTAAAGGCTATCAAATTAGAACCCTGAAAGTTTGGATATATGAGCATTGTTGTGGTATGAATTGATTCCAACAGACCACAAGAAAGGTCATTGTTTTGGAGTGCAGAAAAAGGAACCAAGTTGTGATGAGGTCGTTGCACGAAGGTGCAAAACATGTTTGGAATTAGCATCCCTTGTTTTGGTCGATCAAGATTTCCATGTTCAAAACCAGGTGGTTTCAATGTCGCTTGGTTTGAAATTTCTGAAAAAGGAGGTAAAACGGTGTTGAGCAGCTGCAGCAATGTGCAATGATAAACCAGGTATTGAATTATATCCGGCAACATCCGCAATTGAAAAAACACGAGCCTCACCATTACCTCCAGCCTCCCACACAATGCCAATGTTGTTTGGAAAGTGCAAATGCCAGTTCAAGTTGTGATGAGCAACCTGCAGTGATGCGCCTCGGTGTTTCCACCCAACACCTCCTTTCTTTAGATACCAACATTTTGGTTCAACAAGGCCGGTTGGAAAGAAGGACGCGGGTCTATAATCATCTTCCCCAGGTCAATGCGTGTGAATATGCTTTTGGAGCTTGAAGGCAACCATTCTAGAACCCCAGGTGCTGACTGATGGCCAGCTACAAGCCAACTTATCCGCTTAGCCATTCTTTGGCACCCCTTCTGCATTCTACATCCTTCTGCACATTCTTTAGATACCAACATTTTGGTTCAACAAGGCCGGTTGGAAAGAAGGACGCGGGTCTATAATCATCTTCCCCAGGTCAATGCGTGTGAATATGCTTTTGGAGCTTGAAGGCAACCATTCTAGAACCCCAGGTGCTGACTGATGGCCAGCTACAAGCCAACTTATCCGCTTAGCCATTCTTTGGCATCCCTTCTACATTCTACACCCTTCTGCACATTCTTTAGGTACCAGCACGTTTGTTTCAATCAAACCCTTTAAAAAGAAGGACGCGGGTCTATAATCATCTTCCCCAGGTCAATGCGTGTCAAAATGTTTTTTGGAGCTTGAAGGCAACTATTCTAGACCCACAGGTGCTGACTGATGGCCAGCTGTAACCCAAACTTAGCCATTTTGTCACATCGCTTCTGCATTTTACATCCGTCTGCAGTCTGCAACACATTTGATAGAGAATATCCGGAGAACAAAGAAGGGGGAGAGACTGATGGCCCAGGAAGTTTTGAGACGGCCATGTGCAAGGCAATCTTTCCTTCAATGCGATAGTCTTGCCAGACTGTAATGCGTAAGATATGCTTTAAAAGGAAGAGGGTGATTTCAAAAGATGACTGGACGACGCAGTCTTTGGGGGGGGAAAGGGGGTCAAACGGTTGCAATCGATTTTTGCATACATCCCGACCTTGCTTTAAAAAAAGGTGCTGCTTATATTTTCCGGACCTGACGCAGCCTTAAAAAAATCCTTCAAAAGCAGAAAAATTCAAAACATTCTGATGACCTGAACCGTGCAATGCGTACGGGAGGACAAAAATCTGTGCGCAAATGAAATTCAAATTTTGCTATAAATCAGAACAAGGAGATTCCCTAAAAAAAACGTGTCAATTTTCCATGATTTTATAGCTTGCAGGAACATGATTCTAGACCCCTACCCCTCTGTAGACTTTGAGGTTCTAGCATGCTCTCCGTTAAGAGATTTGAAAACTTTTTTTAAGGAGCACCATTCTATACCTCGGATTCGGGGTTCTAATTTGTCGGACAAGGGGGTTTGTTTGATCTTGAGGGTATTCGAGATCTCCATGCGAGCGGAGGCGGGCAGAGGACAAGACGAGAAGAGAGAAGAGAAGGGGACGCAAAATCTAGAGAGCCTCACCTGATAAGGGGAAAACTAGTTCGTATCCTTGAAAAGCCGGAAACCGATTTCAGCAAACGTGGCAGGTGGAGGGCCACAGAGTAAACATTGAACATTGGTGCAGAAGGTCATGAGGGATACCGATGCTGTTGGCAGCCCATTTCACCAACAGTGTGGACCGTACAAGGTTAACAATATGGAACAAAAAACATTGCAGAGTAGACCCGTCAGAGATGTCGAGCTTTTTTCTGATATATGTATGATCTTGTATAGGGCCTGGGTCACAGAGATCATTGTGAGTCCACCCTATACACTAATGAGAAAACATTGACATTCTATGCAACCGCATTGTCGTGACTTCGATGGGGTCTCGAAGCCGAAGCACCGGAAGGAACATTCAAGAAATGTTCCGTCAGTATGTGCCTGCAGTTCTATTTTTCATTGACATTTCTTTCATGATTGCTGAACGGTAAATTAGTTTGGGTGCGGTTTTGGGCCTGCGGCGTCCCAAGGATTATCGTGTTCGCTCTGATTCGTGTCATTACGCCTAGGTGGTTACCGGGGCACTCGTGTTGGGGAGGCCCAAAACCCCGGCCCTTCATCTACTTGCTCTGGGTTTCTGCTGTGGTCACTCAATTGTCAAAGTCCCAATGGGGCTTGGGCCTTCTTAGACTCCTGCAAAAACATCCAAGATCCGCTTGTTGTGGCCTTACAAGAAACTAGATTCTCTACTACCGAAGAAGCTGCTTTTGTTCGGCATGCCCTCAAAAGTGGATTCCATGTGCAAGCTACTCCTGGAAGCCCTGATGTTGGTGGTCGGCCAAGAGGTGGTGTTCTCTGGATGGTTGACAAACGTCTGAGATTTCGTAAATCGGTCAGCTCCTCTGCAGAAGATGCTCAAGTTGGGACTGTTTGGGTCGAAAACTGGCTCCTCCTCAACTTTTACTCCCCTCCTGACCGAAGCAAGGATGCCCAAATGCAGGCAAGTGAATTGCTCCAGGAGGCTTTGCTTGCTGAGGATATGCCTACGACTTGAATAGCAGTGGGCGATGCCAATGAAACTCCAGCTGACAGCAGCATCGCCCTGACTTTGAATAGCTTTCAGGGCATCGTGCTTGAGCAGGGATGCCCTTCCCGTTGGGAAGGTCAAGCTGAACTTGATTGGGCTCAATGCTCTCAACCTTCATTGGTTCAGCAGTTGCGATTCATGACGGAACACTTCAGCGACCACAAATGTTTGGAGTGTTTTCTCCCTATTAGGACCAAGGACCTTTCGTCAGGTTTTCTCAAGTCAAGACCTGATTGGCACAAACCGGTGGCTGCCACTACTCAATGGTGGCGTGAAACTTTGTCTCAATGTTGGGATGATGCTCAGCCTTCTCGTCCTTGCGATGTTACCTCTGGGAGCATCGATGACAATTGGGACCGATTCACTGGGGCCTTGGAGCGAATGTTCCGAGCAGCATTTCAGATGGCTTTCGAAAGCAACCTTGCTACTCCGCAGGAACTGGCTAGAGCCTTGAGAAGCCCTGGCTCAAAAGGTTCGGCGCCAGTGTGGCGTCAGAGAACTTTGCCCCGTGCTGGGCCCAGAGGTCAGGGGTCTATGCCACTTCGGAGACTCAGGCGAAGTGTCGCCCAACTTTATGAACTGAGACGCCACCTTTCGAGATCGGCTCGCACCAGCCTGCAAACTCAAGAAGCTCAGAAACTTGCTGAACGCCTCGGCTTCGGACGTGATCTTCATGCTCCTGGGTTGTTGGCCCGTGTTGCTCAGCAGTTGGCCTCTTCTAAAGCTCAGCTTTATCAAGAACACCAGGATGCTCGTAAACGAACGTTGAGGAATTGGCAAAACGCTTTAAAGGACGACCCCAAAGCTTTGGGACGTTGGTTGCGAGCTCGGGACGTCGTTCCTATCAGAGGAGTTGTTGGAACCCAAGGTATTTTGGATACCCCCCAAAGTATTGCCTCGGAAATTAAGACTTTCTGGGAAAATTTTTGGAATCAGAATCAATTTGTTGACCCTGAAAACGTTGCCCAAAGATTAAGAAACCATGCCCATGTTCCCCATCAAAACATTGACTGGGAAGCACCAAGTCTTGAGCTGCTGGTTGCAGTTTTCCGTGCAGCTGATGGAGCAGCTGGTGGGGATGGCTTTGCGGGTCGTGAACTTCGTCATTTGCCTGAGGCGGCCATTTCCTTATTTCGGCAGCTGGCACTACAGTGGCAAGATCATGGCTGTACCCCATCTGTTTTTGCTCACACTCGGATGGTCAACTTTGGAAAACCTGGTAAGGTTTCTGCTGACGGACTCCTTCCGCTCGATGGGTGCAGGCCTATTAGTGTTTTGACTTCTTTCTGGAGGCTCTGGGGTACGGCGTGGATGCGCTCACCCAGTGTGAAAGCTTGGATGAGCACACTCCCCTCGTCCGTCGTTGCTGGCACGGGAGCAGATAGTCTCTTTACTGCTGCACAGGTTTTTGCCAAACTGGGCCACCAACGCTACGCAGGTAGCATGGATTTCACCAAATGCTATGACCTCATGATCCCATGTGGTACGGCGGCCCTTCTCGAAGCCGGAGGATGGCCACGAGGACTGGTTCAGGTCATTGCTTATATGTGGCAGCACCAACAACGGTGGGTGAGTTGGGACCGGCACACTCATGGTGCCCCTCTTGCAGCTGGCACGTGTGTGCCCCAAGGTTGTTCCTTCGGTCCTCTGGCCTTGGCAGCTTGGATGGCGGCAGGTGTTCGCGCTACTGACCACCACCGTGAAACGGTTTTTACTCGTGTTTTTATGGATGACAGAACCATTGTTTCTTCTGACCCTCAATTTTTGGTCAACCAGATTCAACGGTGGGAAACTTGGAGTGAAAGTGTTGGTCTTCTTGAAAGCAAAACTAAGACTCAGCTCACTGGAGCTACGCAACTGTGCCGCACCAGGTTGGCTTCGGTTGCCACTGAACCTGCCAAGGTTCAAAGTTCTTTCGAAATCTTGGGATGTTGCGCTCAAGTTTCCAGGCGTACTGAATCCACTAAGGAAAAGAAGAGACTTGCTGCAGGTCACAG